TTATTTTTTTTTTTTTTTTTTTTTTTTNTTTTTTTTTTTTTTTTGTAATCCATGATAAATTTTTTTGTAATACTTGATCAAATTTTTTGTAATCCATGATGGAATTGTTTTTGTTTTTTGTAATCCATGATCGAATTTTTTGGTTTTTTGTAACCCATAATAGAATTTTTTGTAATCCATGATCGAAATGTTTGTTTTCTTTTCTTGTAATCTATGATCGCTTTTTTTGTTTTTTTGTAACCCATGATAGAATTTTTTGTAATCCATGATTGAATGTTTTGTAATACATGATCGAAATGTTTGTTTTTTTTTGGTAATCCATGATCGAAATGTTTGTTTTTTTTTTGTAATCCATGATTGAATTTTTTGTTTTTTGCTTTTTTTGTAACCCATGATAGAGTTTTTTGTAATCCATGATTGAATTTTTTGTAATCCATGATCGAACTATTTTTTTCTTTTTTTGTAATCCACGATTGAATTTTTTGTTTTTTTTTGTTTGTTTTTTTTTGTAATCCATGATCGAATTTTATGTAATCTATGATCGAATTTTATGTAATCCATGATCAAATTTTATGTAATCCATGATCGAATTTTATGTAATCCATGATTGAATTTTTTCAAAATTTGTGATTTTTTTTTTTTAATCCATGATCGAATTTTTTTTTGTAATCCATGATAGAATTTTTTGAAAATTTGTGATTTTTTTTTTAATCCATGATCGATTTTTTTGAAAATTTGTTATTTTTTTTTTTTAATCCATATTATTCAAAGAGAAAATGAGAGAGATGATGATTCTGAGGCCACCCTATCCCAGCCATATTATTCACATATCGAGTCCCAACAGCAACAGTGTAGGGATAAGCATGAAATACTGTAAATTAAATGCTAAATGGCGGTTCATGTAGGGAAAGAACATATCAATATTCGTATATTCATTCAAAAACATGAGAATTCTTAATGGAGTACCCTCATTTTTTATTGAATTCCTAAAAAACAATATTTATAATGAATTTTAATAATTTTTTCGAATTTTTTTTAAACTTTATTCTGACCGATTCACCCGAATCTCGATCCGAATCGCCGATTTACCGATCCGGATCGGTTTTTTGGAAGCCCGATCGGGATCACCGATCCGTTTTTTAAACCATTGCCCTAAACAATTGAAGGTAAATCATCCCTTGGAGGTAATTTTGTTGATAGGAATAGTTGGTTTCTCTCTTGTGCGCCCCCGCTGTTCGCTTTTACTGTTCTTGAATCCCTTGTTTTCTGTTTCTCAGTGCCATGCGGCTTTTGAGTGTCCATTCTTCCCTCCCTTCCTCTATGTGATTTCAGTTTGGGAGTGAATTTTGGTGCTCATGGGCTTTCCTTTCTCCAAAGAATGTGAAATTTTGTATTGATTCTGCAAAATTTTTCTTCATCTGGTAAGTTTTTCACTATCAACCTTTGTGATCAATTATTTCTGAATGTTGATAGCTGTGCCCTAAATAATAATGCTTCAGTTTGGTTCGCAAATTTTAGCTGTAGGATAATTAATCTGGCGTATTTTTCCCTGGTAAATGTTTTAATTTATTTATTTGTCTATATCTCATCTTTTATTCCTGTTATCTCTTTTTACTTTTGTTTTCCTGCTTGCTATTTTTATTGGTAATGATTGTTACAGTTTTTACTTCATATCTGAATTTGAATCTCAGTTGTCAAAAACCCATGATTTTATAGATGCATTTGTTGATCATGACTTGACAACCAAATTGATATTATCGCAAATATTAGCATTTAGAACAATGGTGAATCAGTCGATGATCTATGCTTTGAAAATTCTTTTGGTCTTTCATATTCCAGTCTCAAATTCTATTACAGAGATTAACCTAGTTCCTTTTCATGAATAATTTATGAAGTCATTGGCGTCGGGATTTTGCATGACATTCGTCAAGTGTTTGAATGATAGGCTCTCACAGTATGCATATAGTGCTTACCAATATTCAAAAAAATGGCTTGGACGCTCCCCATGGTCCCAAAGTCCAAGTCATCCATACCAACTCGGCCGAGTCTGTCAGAAACTCACTTGAGTCGGTACAAGTTATGGTAATAAAATATAGGAACCTGCCTAGTTTGGCATGTTTGTACTCAAACGCAGCACCTTGCTGAGTCCGAGACTTGCCTGAGTTTTAGAAGACTAGTGGTTACACTAATGTTAGAATATTTCACAAGAACTGCCATTGGATCATTGTGCAAATGGGGTAGTATAATGATTGTACATAGTGTTGATTATAGAGGTTGCATTCCATTAAGCTGCAGTGTTGATCTAATAGAGGGAATTTATCTATTGCTGATTTGGATAGCAATTAGTTTTGATACTTATATTGTACTGTACATGAAAAAAACTGTGGGAAGCCATACTGATTAACTAAAAAAATGATATAAAGGGGACTAACCATTAAAGCAGATGATATGGATCTGAATGTGGGAGAGAAAATGCATATCGCATTCGTCCTGTAGTGAAATATACTAATGAGAAAAGTAGAAAATTTGGGAATTGACTTTCATAAGAAGAATATTTATGTACAAAAAAAAAAAACCATCAAAAGAGGACTGAAACTTGGGAGGAAATAGATGATATATTGTTGACTTGGATATTATTGATAATACCATGGCATAAGTGCATGCTGACAAATTTATTACAAATCATGCTATGTGTTATCAAACTTGGATATTATCTAAACCGGAACATTATACATTGGATTCTTTGTAAACAAAATTAAGCAAACCAATTGTAGCTAGAGCTAAATTAACCATATATATAAATGATATATCAAGTTGTTCACTTTAATGGAGATAACCTCTTGGAGTCTTGATAGCTATATATGTTACTGATTGGGTTCTTTCTGAACTTCTCTGGACATGGCAACCAAGATCTCCTACATCGCTAGGGTTCTAGATGCCATAGAATTTTATGAACTTAAAAATCATCATCATCATCGTCGTCGGAGCTTTTTTCCAACTACTTGGGGTCCACTACACGAATCCTGGTCCGCCATTCTGCTCTATTAAGGGCCATACCCTCATTGAGGCCATAAGTCCTCATATTTTCTCTCACCACTTCCAACCATATTCTTTTGCCTACTCCTTGCCCTTTTTGGACCTTCTGCTTGAACTAATTTACACCTCCTAATAGGTGTTGTAACTGGGTCTATGCCGCACATGGCCAGCCCACCTAAGTCTACTTTCTTTCATTTTTTCGCCTATCAGTGCCACCCTTAAGTTCTCCCGAATGTATTCATTTTGAATTCTATTCCTTCTTGTCTTGCCCCTCATCCATCTCAACATCCTCATCTCAACTACACTGGGCATTTTTATGAGCCTAAAAATAATTAATAAAATTATGAACAAGTAAACATTTCAAAATCAATCTCATTTTTGGAAATTTGGCAACGAAATGTGTCTCTTAATATGCATATAAATTATGAGTATTTTGAGACTTGGGAAAAACTACAGAAAAATAAAGGAATTTCTGCCAGGTCTTGTTCATAGATCTCATCTTCAATTTCACTATCTTATTGGGTCACTTGCACTTTGGGAGTCCTTTCTGTCAATTGCGTTGCGATCTACCTTCAATCAAGGAGCTGCTACTCCCCTCCAAGAATCATCTTAATTGATGATAGTTTTTTCTTGAAACTTGAAACACTTGGACTGTGTACTGGATTTAGTTGTATAGAAACTTAAAGTTTCTTAATTGAAGCATCTTATTAGTGCATTCAATTGGGAGAAATCAGGTATACATGCAAAATGCATGTGTTGTACTGTGGACCGTGCAGATCTTATACCCTTCTCCATTGCCTTCCAAAACTCATCAACTTTTACTTTTTATACTTTGTATTTTGTTGTATATATTTATCTTTTTTTCTAGTTCTTTCTTGGTTCTCTCTATTTGGGTGATGTTTACATTATTCTTTTTGCCCCCCATTCCTCCTTTTTGGTTTGTCTCTGTTAGTCTCATTCTCCAAGTTAAAAATCCTTTTCTAGGATATCTTGACTCATTTTGTGAAATTGATCCCTATTGTGAGTTTGACCCACAGATAGTGAGACATTTAGGGTGTGTTTGTTTGGGGGAATGTTTGTCTCCTATTTGTTGGAGGGAAGGTTTGTTTACTGAAAACAAACCTTCGCTGTCACTGTAGCACTTCCATGTTTGATGCACATAGAGTGCTAGGAAAGGGGCTGGGGTCGTGGTGGTAGCATCCCCACACCCAGTTACCACATGGTGGTATCCATTCCTACTGCTGACACCCCCAATTAACACCTTCAAAATGTAACTTCCTGATCTATTGAAAAAAATGGTTAGGGGCTTGTCTTCTCCATTGAATTACCCAAAAAAAAATGCACGTAGAGTGCTATAGTTAAAAGATTCTCAATTCTTATATGAACAATTGTTTCATGTGGGCTGGACCACATTTGTACAATATGCGGTCCAGAGGTGTAAAGCATCCATCTTAAAGATGGATGCAAATAGGTGGTCCATCTAAAACATATGTAACTAACGGTCCAAATGTTCTCTTAACATAATTATTATTTCTAGTTTTCAAAATTTATTTATTTTTTGATATTCATGATCCCCATGTTAAAGATTATATATTCTCTAAAAATTAGGATCAAATTATATTTAAAAACATATTTACTGCCAAGCCTGCATTTGTGCATGTGCGGGTTTGGCTGCATGCTAACTGCATCCTTCTTATATTGCGCTCAAATGATGTTCGGCTTCCTTCTGAATGTTTTCTCGTCTAAGGCTTGCGATTAAAGGGGAAAAATGCCTGTCAAGCACTTTTCCCTACCCTTCTCCCTGCCTTTTCCAGCTGCAAACATGCTTGCGAGCTAAAGATTCTTCCTCCCCTGCAAAACCCTAGCAAGCCTTCTTCAGCAAACCTCAACCAGGTAGCCCCCCCCTCTCTCTCTCTCTCTCAAGACCCATAACAACCAAAGCCCTCTCTTTCTCTCTATAACCCACCACTAAAGCCCTCTCTCTCTCTCTCTCAAATTACCCACATCAAAGTCCTAGTTAGAACTCTCTCACTCATCCCCAATCTACTCATGCTCTCTCTTCTCTCTTAACTCGTGAAGGGTGAAGTCATGAAGTTTGATCATCTTCATGCCCAATCCTTGTGAAGCCCTATTACTGTTCGCCTTATGATCAACCATTCTTTTTTTTTTTTTCTTTTCTGCTTCTGTTTTTCTATTACTGTAATTTTTTTGAGTAGGTTTTGATTTGGGGTTCTTTGGTCTCCATTATTGGGGTATTGTTTGTTTATTTGTTAATACGGGGAGGTGCTTTTAATGAAGAAAATTTTGGAAATTTATTGATGGGAATGGAAAGGAAATTTGTCTTGTACAAGATGGATTATTGAGATCATTGAGGCGCTTCTTTATTATTACATTATTATTATTATTATTATCATTATCATTATCATCATTGTTATTATGATTATTATTATTTATTTAATGTAATTTCTCTCCCTTGATTCTCCATGCTTTGAGCTTACATTTATGAAATGGGAAAATCCACACACGTTTTTCGATTTCATTAGTGGTATAAATAGATGGGTGGTCATATTTTTATGTGGAAAGTCACTACAATTTATTGCTTAAATTATGTGGAAGAAACTCAGAATTTATCATTATTTGTGTATGAATTCAGCTGTTGTTTTATGAAAGATACCAGGAATTTGTTGTTATTGTTAGGTCCACAAAACCCAATCTCTGGCTTGATTTCTTTGAGTAAAATTGTTTTGTAATATCTCTGTTGTTTTGGTTGTTACTTTAATGCTTCAGCTTGTATTGGTGAAAAGAAAAACAACAACAGGATTGTGTTGTCAGAAGTATAAACACATTGGTGATTCTCCTTTGATATGGAAAGTCACTTGCAGTTTCCTGATTTCAGTATGTGGAATGAAGTTATAACCATTTTTCAATGAATTTGGTGTTTTTAGTATGTGGAAAATACTCAGAATTTGTTATTATGCTTTTTATTAAAAAACCGTTTTCTCTTACTGGAGAGAGAGAGAGAGAGAGAGAGATTAAATTAGTTAACCAAGGTTGTATGCCCAAAATTTTCTATAAATTTATAGTTATTGGAATAATTTGCACTATATGTTAGATCTATTAAACATCTTGCAATATTGGAGGGGGGAGAGAGTGTGTAACAATTAATAAATTGATCCAAACCGTCCAATTTTTAGTCATATTACAGATGGATTATTTTCAATAAATTGTCTTTGTTGGACATACTACATTACTAATCAACAAAAATTCATAGTGATTATAAATTGGGCTCCTTCCATATTCTTGAAAGACAATTCACTTCTCATTTTTGGAGAAGGAGACAGAGCATAATGGACTCCTTATACATTTGATTTGCACCTTACATTTCATTAGACCTGTTGAAGATTTGGAATGTCTAGAACATAGTTACCGGGATCTCCTGCTTTGATAGGCTATCCCTTCTAGGAACTCGATTATGTCGCTCCCAAAATAGATCTCTTAGGGATCTAAGTTATTTTGGGATCTTGATCTTCATTGATAGGGATCTCGATTCCTGTTGTTAGGGATCTCAATCCCAACCTTAAAGACAAAGACAACAACCAAGCTGATGATTTTCTTTGTTTATAACTAACTAGTATCACAACTATACTTTTAATATGGTTGTATGCTTGCTTGCTATCAATAATGAGATCCCTATTTTAATGTGTATATACAATCCTAGATTACAATATACTTCAAGGTTGGTAGAAAGATCCTTAAAAAGTTTGGATCGAGATCCCATAAAAGGTTTGAATCTCGACCCTTAATATTTGGGGATCTCGACCCCTCTTTTTTTTTTTGGGTAATTCAGTGGGGAAGACAGGCCTGTACCCGTTTTTTCAAGTAGATTAGGAATTAGCTTTTTGAAGGTATTAGTGGGGTGGTGTTAGTGGTGGGAATGGAAACCACAATGTGGTGACAAGAGTGTGAGGTGCTACCACCACGACCCTAGCCCCTTTCCCTTGGGGATCTCGATCCCTAACATGTGCATTGTGCGAATGTCATTCCTAACCATAGGGTTCTTTAGGATTTCGCAAACCCTTGCTCCTGATCCCGATCCCGATCCTGGTATCATTCCAGGTCCCGATCCCAACAACTATGGTCTATAATATATCTTTTAACATATATTGGCCTCATGTCACTAAAACATGAATGAACAGTTGAAATGGCTTATTCACAGCTCTCTAGAAGCCAAAGGTTCCAGTTCATTCAAACATAGGTACCCAGAACTTCCTTAACATTCCGCATAGGTTATCAAACACAGTTACAAACAATTGCAGAAAGATAACATTCCAATTCTCAGGAACGAAGAACTTCTAGGGAACATTTACCTTCCAGCAAGCAAACAGGCCCTTAAAATCATTTGGAAGTGCTTGACCTAAATCATCTTGACACTTTTTTCATATCTAGATTTTTGGTATATATATCGGGATCCTTAAGACATTATTTAACCAAACTGCGCCTCACATATGTGACATTGTAGCGTGTGACCTAAAATCCTACAACTGCTTATCGGCACAGTTTTGAAGCTAGCGGCACTTTTGGAAACTATTATTATCGAAAAAAATCCAAAGATTAGATTTTTTACGCATGTCCTGAAGTTTCTTATGTAAGTTTCTTGTTTGACTTTCACTTGGTTTCCATGCTTTCCTCTTGGTGCTCCACATAATGTGTGCTTTCCCTGGTTCATTATGCTTTTTACTTCATTTCCCATGCATATTCAGGCAATACATTGCCATGAATTTGTAATCTGTTTCTCTATTAAATCCCTCTGGGTTCCCATTCTTCTTTCTACCGTAGTCCATTTTTTGTTTGGTGTCTGTACACACATTCATTACCCTAGTTAGTTTTTATCTTCCTCTGGCTATTCATACGGACTCTACAGTTTGTCATGCATTAGCTGGGAAATTAACCTTTCAAAGTGATCATAAACGCGTTTTGAAATGAATATATTCGCATTCAACTTAGTTAGGCACTTGAATGCGTTTTATCATCAAAGACTCGGGTTTGGTCCAAGCATTAATTTTTACATTAAATATACCAGAGTTAGTCCCAACAAATTGTTTTTGTGGTAGTATGTATCCTCTCTTTATATTTGACCTCAAGATTGAATCTTGTGGTTTGCACAAGGTGTTTTTGCCAAAACTGAAAAAGTTGCTGAGTTTTTTGGCCAAAAAATGTAAAACTCGGATGAGTTGCCTTGTTTTTGGGTGTATCAAACTGAAGACTGACTTCAAGCTTATAAATCTTGAGTTTGGGACTATGTAGAGTGTGAGTGTGTAGATTCTTGCTATAAGAGGATGGCTGACTGCTGACAATATTTGACAAACAAGGTAACTTTGTTGTGAAGTGTAACATTTAGATATTTTCGTGTTGGTTTAGGTATCTTCTTACCATGTGAAACTTTGTGACACTGACTCCCTGGAGTTTTTATGCCTTCTTACTCTCCAAATCCTGATTATTATTGACAAACTTCCAACTCATATAATGGTTAATATGTCTAACCTAACTTTAAATGTATCGTTGTGATTTTGGTCAGAAAACTTGCATATATAGGGATAAGGAGATGAACTTAATATTTTCCTTTTAGTCTATGTTATCTAAATATCTGAGCAGGTATAAGGAGATGAACTTAATATTTTCCTTTTAGTCTATGTTATTTAAATATTTGAGCAGGGACAGTAACAAAAAAAAAAATCTGAGGGATTTTCTTTGGGAAAATTACGTACATGTCCGTTATGGTTTGCGTTATTACGAAACTACCGAATAGTTTCCGTTATTATCAGTGATTCAAAAAGCGGATCGCCTAGCGCCTAGGCGGTCCAGAAGGCCTGGGCACATCGCTCAGGCCTAGGCGGCCAATCTAGGCGGCAGTCTCTGAGCGGCCGCCTAGGCGGGTACGGAACCCGCCTAATGGTGGAATTTTTTTTTTTTTGAAAGTTGATAAAAATTGATCAAAACATTACCCATATTAGATTTAATTTTTGATGTTTTATAAATTTAATGGGTGGGTTTTTTAGAAGATTTTGAGTCCTTAGAACCATATTTGACTGACCATCCTTTTTGGATTCGACTGGGCCGCCCAAGTTCTGGGCGCCTGCCTAGGCGCTGGGCCCCCCAGGCCGTCTAGGACCCGCCTAGCGCTTTTTGAAACTATGGTTATTACCTATCTGTCCGTTTTTTTTTATGTCAAAACGAAATTTTTTAAAAAAGACAACTTTACTCTTTTCGGTTGTTGAACAACCGAAAAGGCTGGATTTTCGGTTGTTCAAAAAGCGAAATGGTTGGATTTTCGGTTGTTGAACAACCGAAAATAGAAAGTGCAACATTGTTTTGAATAGAATGCGGAGGTTTGGCGGTGAGTCATGAAAGCGGAAGAATAGGGAGGGTGAGCAGATAAACATAGCAACCAAATGACTACTACCATCTCTTTTCATCTTTGTCCTTGACGTAGAGAGAGAACCCCTTTTTTTTCTCCCTTTGCTATTGTGTGTTGAGGAGGATGGTTCAACTTTATCCTTGACCTAGAGAGAGAACCCCTTTATTTTTCTTCCTTTGCTATTGCGTGTTGAGGAGGATGGGGGCTGTGAAATCGCAGCATCGCACGAACGAGAGCAATAAGATGGGGGCTGTGAAATCGCATCGTCGGATGAGAGCAATAAGGAAAGAAAAGGGGTTCTCTCTCTAGGTCAAGGATACAGAGCCATTCGGTTGCTATGTTTATCTGCTCACCCTCCCTATTCTTCCGCTTTCTTGACTCAACGCCAGACCTCCACATTCTATTCAAAACAATGTCACAGGTCCTATTTTCTGTTGTTCAACAACAAAAAATAGAACATTATCGGATGTTGAACAACCGAAAATGCTCTATTTTATGATGTTGAACAACCGAAAATAAGACTTTGAGTATTAGGTTGTTTAACAATCAAAAACAAGATATTTTCGGATGTTGAACAATCGAAAATCCAGCGATTTCGGTTTTTGAACAACCGAAAATCTAGCCATTTTGGTTCAACAATCGAAAAAGGGTAAAGTTGTTTTTTTTTAAAATTTCCGTTTGACATGAAAAAAAAGGATAGATAGGTATTAATGGAAACTATTCGGTAGTTTCGTAATAACGCAAACTATAGCGGATATGTACGTAATTTTTTCTTTTTTTTTACTGTGTCATATCTTCATTTCACATTGCATAATTTAATTATTGTTCAACATTTGAAGGCAGATGGTAGATATCATTGACTAATGGTGAAACACTTCAAGTTTCATGATCAATTCTTCCATTATAAAATTGCTTATTCTTTTATTCCATTTTGTTACTAAATTTGTCTTTTGTGATCAACCGCGATGTCATGAAAGAAACTGGCCCAGTGGAATGCTTAAATTTCAACCAAAAACAAAAACAAATATCTTCCATGTCTGCTGTTTCTGTTTTAGTATGTAATGTATGACTTATGCAAATTTAATCCTCGCCTCATAAAATTTGTCTGCATGGTGCATATATTATTTTTTATTGGATATTTACATATCATATGTCCATGTATAGTATGTTAAACTGGATTCTCAAGGATCTAGATCATTGTTTCTTCTGAGAGTTAATGCCATGAGTTAAACCGATTGATCGCTATTTATGATGCTCTTTGGCTTCTCTCTCTTGGAGTTTTTGTTCTTGGTATCTCACAGTACTCTTCTTGGACTTGTCATTTAATTTACACCCTTGGAATTTTTAGGAATTGTGCTGATTGATCTACCGGAATAGGCTTATACTATTTTGCCAAGTGTTGTTGGGAATCAACTACTAACTATTAAAATAGCTCTTTTTATGTCTTTAACAGTTGAAGACTGATGTTTATTGCACAAAATTTCACCAGGATCTCAATCTGCAATGTCTCGATCCCGTAATATCATATTGGCCTCTGGATTACTTGCCTTTGCTGCTGCTGGCTTGTCTTTTCCTTTTGTCTTGGGGTACGCATTATATACTGAATCAAGTTTATGAACTTGTTTTGTATTTCAATTTGTTCCTTTTCCTGTGTGTATCATCTCAAATTGCTAGTTTTTCTTTTCGTCGTTTTGTTTCAGTTTGTTTTTTGTGGGTAAGTTGGGATTCTTTCTCTTCTTTGTTCAGGACATCGAGGATGAGACCTGTAATTGATCCCACAAAACCATTACCCCCACAGGCAACTTTTAGAGGGCCATATGTGAACACGGGATCACAAGATATTGGTCCAGACCCTGGTCGTAACCAAAAGCTCTAATTCTTGGTGGTTTCATGGTGAGTAGGATATGGTGTGCTTCTACCTGAATTGCATATGTACTTTTTTTATACATCTCAACTGTAAGAATTACTGTTCTAGAATTACAGACACAAAGGAATTTCATTTTAACCTTTAGATAAAGGTAGTGCTACTTCTTAACATAACTAGGGTGAAAAACTTATTATGTAGATGGGCTGTTGCTTAATATGGCTTTGATCTCTGGAAACAAGAAATTCTGGCTGGCAATGGGCCAGGCCAAGCCAGCCCTGGTCCTGATACCCGTGGGACGGCCCAGGCCCAGCCCAACTGAGTCGGATCAAATGGACCAGGCAAACAGGCTGGTCCTATCTTGGCCTTGGACCAGGCTCGCCCCTCAGGCATGGTGACGCAGCCTTCAGGCCACATTTTGTGGCCCATGACCTTATTTTAAGGGCCGGACCGACTAGTCCAGGCCGGCCTGCCCAGCTTATGATTGGTTTTTGTTTATTCTCCCTCATGGTTTAGCTGTTTTTGTTCGCGTTATGATTGATTTTCTATTAGATAAACTCAACATTTGGTAGCATCAGCAGCATAAAAAAAAAACATTTGGTAGCATCAATAATTATTCCAGGTCATAGTTTCTCTGAACTTCTTAGTACATTTCAGAAATGATGCACCCTTCCAAGGTGCCTGAGAAGGTAATAGTTCACCATATGAAGCAAGATTTTGTTGACATGGCATGTGCTTTGGATGAATAGCCTGATGCCGGTTACTTGAGCAGTTGTTTATATGGTGAGATCTGTAGCTTGTTGTTGAAAGCAGGTTATATATATGAATGGAGTTAAGAGATTCTCTACTTCAAACCATGGAAATTGTATATACCCTTCCTTGTTTCCTTCAGAGGTTTGTGCAATTCCTTTGTATTTATGGTTAAATTTAGCCTCACATGTGAACGTGAGGGAGTGCGGGGAATGGGGTGGGGGTTAAGATTTTATTTGTTACAGATGTTTAATTTAGTTTGTCAAAGTTGGTGTCCTTAGAGGAAGGAGCTTCCCAGAGGAAGGAGCTGACGTAGCACTAGAGCACACTGTAAACTTACTCTCCCTCGAGCAAAAGAGCTTCTTGGGAAGATTTTTTTGATATGAAATTTTGGGATCCATTTTAGGGTTAACACACTTTTTAATGGTCTCTATTAAATATTAGAATCTTAACCTTTTAGGCACACAAAGTATGTTTCATGTTTTTTTTTTTTGTTTTCTAATATATATATGTAATGGAGTTGGTTGCTAAATCAAGGAGGTTATATTCCATAATTTAGGGACCTAAAGATATTTCTAGACAAGGCTTTCCTTTTTTTTTTTTTTTGGTAATTTCCAAAAATATCATTTTTTAACAAATTTGAAGACTGCATAAATTCTTTGAAAATTATGTTCATTTCCATTTTTTTAACTTTTTGTAATTCTTTTTAACTGAACTCCAATGCCCTACTCTCATGCTTCAGGTTGTTTTATAGACCATCACATTACTATTACTACCGTGATGGTCATAATAGTATTGTAATGGTCGTTTTAGAACATTGAACTGTGATAGTACCTTGATGATCCGAATATCATGGTCCTAATAGACCTGTGACGCGCATTGTGGTAAATTTTTTATTATAGAAAGTTAAAGAATAGGTATGGATGTAGATTTCAAGCAATTTGGGTATTTTTCAAATTTATTAAAAAAAGGGATATTTCTAATAATTGCCTGATAATTATAATCCTTTTTGGAATAGAAGGGATAGGGTCAAATAATTCCAGGGAAAATGGTTCTAAATCTTTTTCTTCATCATGATGTTTGATTTAGAGAATGAAGGGCCGAGATTGAAAGCATCTCTTCACTTCATAGGTCACCTCAAATCAATTGTCCAAATTGAATCCGAGATGGAATGCCCTACCCAAAAAACTAGAAATAGGAGTTATCCCATAGAAGGGAATCAGTCCACTCAGAGCTTCTCTCTCTCATCTCTCTTTCTACCCCACGTTCTAACCCTAGCTAGAAATAAAGGGAAGGTGCCATGCCTCACTTAGGTTTCCATTTACTTGGGTGCATGACCTAGCCTATATGTTTTGTGAAAGCTCGAAGTATGTTTCTAGCTATGCACTTTCATACCTTTTAGTGTTCGGTTGGATTAGATAAACATATCCAAATATAGAAAAAACATCAATAAAGGTGATGAAGTGTGACATCTTTCTATAAGCTTAACCATTGAAGGGCTCTTAATTGTCGAAGTGGATTATATTCAATAACTCATGAGCTCTCTCCCTTTTATTGAATGATATTTTAGTCATTTTTTTAGACAAGCAGTGCTGACAGTTTGAAATTTTGGTATTATTTAGATTTGGAATAAGACATTACTTTATTAATCTATTTATTTTGTCTTTTCTTATGTGGCCAAGCTTAAGATGACAAGTATATGCATCAACAACTATTACACAATCAACATAACCAGAATAAGTTGAAATTTTATTATTAGCTTTCTCATTTACATGAAGAAAGAACAAGTTGTGGTCATCAATGAAGTGTCACCAAACATAAATTTGTCCACGCTTTTCAATTGATACTTTCAATGATCGGAAGCGGATTTCAAAGCTCTTTCTAATGACAAAATATAAATCAGTTAATACAAGGTCAATTGTCCCTATATACAACTATAAGTTCCTACACCTAATACATAAGAATAGATGTTGATCTCCATGTAGATGTGTTTCTCTCCAGCTTTTTTTTCTTTGAAGTCATCGAAGAAGCATTTTGAGGTTGCAATATGTCGATTAGCGCCTGAGGTTACCCATCATCTTTTGATGTCGTGGTCTGCCATCAGGCACTCAGAAACCACACAAACAACTTCATACCTCTTGCTTCTATTTTTCGCTATTATTTAGATTTTGTGGGTTTCTATTCTGTGGGCAGCGGTTCTTGAAGTGACCTGACTGACCACATAAGAAGTATTTTGGCGGTCCTAGTTTAGATTCTTCGTTGTAGGGCTTAGTTCATCTGTTTTTGAACCTATTGTTCATCTTATTAAGCTTTCTTTGAAATTTAGGATTGGGTTAGCTAGCCTTGGAAGGTCCTTGAGCAAGTATGAGCTCACTCGTTTTATCTTTGCTCATATGTTCTTGTTTTAAGGGTAGTTGCATAGGTAGGTTTGTAAGAGATTTGACATTCAACCTAAGTGCAATTGTTACCCTCCTCCATGTAGGTGAAAGGCTATTTAAGATTGTAGAAACTTGCATGTGCTCAAGGACTTCTTTCCGAGCAATGGCTAAGTCTTTAGCCGTAATAAGCATTTTGTTTACATGTTCCACTACATTATTACCTATTTTATTTGAATGAGTTATATTGCTGTAATAGCAATTGGAGGTGTGTTTCAGATATTGAGTCATACTTAGTTTTTATTTCCTCCAGCATTTTCTTTGATGTTTTATGATGCTTGAAAGCCTTAATAAAGTCATCTTGCATAAAAGTTAACATGGAAGTTTTGCTATGAGGTCATCTTCTAAAATTTTTTCGAAGTTTTTTTTATCTTTTTCAGTTGGTTTATCATCAACTGCTGGTAGATCATCTTTTAGTACATATGTGATTATATCTTGGATGAGGATATATTTCATCTTCCTCTTCCACATCCCAAAATTGTTTCTGCTCAATTTTTCAACTTTTAAAAGTTTAGCTATTACAATTCTACTAGTCATTTGCTAAGTTTTGTGTGAACAACCTAATACTTTCTAAGTTCTAAAGAAGCTAAACAAGGCACCAAAAATTTATTATATGGTCAATACTTGTACAGAGATAGCTGCAATTATTTCATAAAACAATAACAGTTATTAAGTGATGCATTAAAGAAAATTTAAATAGGTAATCTCTCAATCTATAAGTAAGTCCTAGGACTATCAAGGATAAAATTCCCCCTTATATTTACTTATTTGGGGTGCAAGAGCAATATCAAGGGTGTGTGAGCCCTTATAATAGAATAACAAATATCCAGTATGAGATTCTTTAGAAGACAAATTAATTTATGTATCACACCAAGCCAGTAAGTGCATTAATTGCGTTCAAATATCAACAAAATAAGTCTTCCATAAATTTTTTTTTAAATGGAATATCAGCAATATATAAGGCAACAAAATAGCAAAATATGAATTCTCTAGGTCATTTGTTATCTCATTAGGGACCGTTAGATACAAACAATATAAAATAATGGATTCATACCAAAATTAACGCTTAGCAGTAGGAGATAACAAAATCAACCCTTAGAAGGGTTTGTAGGTACACAACAAAGTTTGGAGAGAGAACACGTGGGCTAAAGGTTTGTGATGGGCTGGCATAAATAATAGAGAGAGAGGGAGCGTTTTATGGCATGCTCAAATAAGTGCCTCCTCTAAAGATGAGTTATTCAAAACTCTCCTTAGCCCCTTCAAACACGTTTCAAAAAACAAAAACAACTGTCCATAGTTGTTATCATCAATACAACGTGGGATCCAATCCCAAGCCCTTATTTTTGTAGATGTTGCAGAGAGTTCCAATCCTAAACCCTTATTTTTATGGATGTTGCAGATAGTAAATCAAAGTGGTCAACTGCCTCTATTTTTATAGATGCTGTAGAGAGTAAATCAAAGTGATTAACTAAAAAAAATACTTAGTCAATCCCATATCACACAGTATTATATATCCATATCACAACTTATCAGACAAAGCAAACAATAGAACCGTAAGTGGAGTCAACTCACCCTCACAATTCAAACACTAAACCAAACCCCATAAAAAATGGGATAAAGGTGATTTGAAATTGATTAATACAAAGGGAGTGCACGCATACTTATCCTTTAATTAATTAACACTGTGAACCAAGATAACGTTGTGAACCAAGATAAGATAGCAACATGTGATATTTGAAGCACGATTGATACACAAAAGATAAACTGGGCATACAAATCACTTTAGCTCTATCGTTAAAAAAAATTCATAGTAAAAAAAATAGGGAAGATGGAACCCGGATGCTCTGATACTAATGATAGTAAAAATTGATGAAGCGTGGATGAGACTAAACCCGATATCATAGAAGGGGTACCATGAGGCTGGTGATCGCAGAGCCCCGAATTTTGCTCCCTTTGCTTTTTAGAGAAAAAAAATGTACGCCTTTTCTTTGTTATTCGCATCATCTCTCTGGCTTACCATTTTATAGGGAGAAGAAAGGGTTGTATTTCTCCAATGGGTCTCTAAGAAAAAAGAGGTGTTCATTGATCTCAGGGATATTCATCCAATGTTCATATAGATGTTGGACCATATGAACGTTGGATATAATTTTGAGATAATTATAATGAACACGGTTTCCTCACTTGTAGGCTATGATACGTAAGGCCTCATAGCCATACGTGTGAACAATTTTTTCAAACACATTTCCCAATCAAGTGGTTCGTATTTTCAATATTACATCTTGCTTGCTCGATGAGAAATCAATAAATTTTGATTTTGTCAACCAAATAGTTTAAACTTTCATTTCTATTAAAATTCTTTAGTATATGTAGAAAGTCAAACATGCACAAAATATGCATATCATGATAAATTTAATCCACATAAATAGAAAGCCAGCTGGGCCTTTCTTCAAATTTTTAAAAATCTGAATTGTGAAGTTCTGTTTTGTCAAAGATACCTTAAATCTCTCCTTTGCTCACATATTCCAAAAGCGTTTCTCCCTTGGAATTTTGGTTTGGGCAGAATCGTAGGCCAGAGCGACAAATGGTTCATAAGAAAGAGATCTTGTCTCGGTCTTGTTCGCCACGGATCATAATTCAAGGGGGCACTATAACCTACCACTAATGACAAAGTTCATGCACGAATCAAAAAGGGGTTATTAGGGGTTTTATTGTTATATTTTGTTTATTGATTAATAAAAAAGGGGTTGTCTATAAAGAGACCATTTATTTTTTTATGTATGGAGGTCACAATCATTCCGACTCGTTAGATGTCAAATTGAATGGTTTGGAGTGAGTGAGTCATAAAATACGAGAAATTTTGTATTTTTGGGAACTTTGTATCTGTTCAACAACACTCTTACAACCACCTATAATGATGTCAAATTGGATGGATTAGAATGAGTTACGAAGTTCGAGAATTTTTTTTAGAGAATTTTGT